AGTCAAAAGTTAAAATAGTATATATACAATTGTTTGAACAAATTAAAAATTACAAGAAACAAACAAAGTGACAAAAAACTGGTATTGGGAATAGTGAGTGTGGGATAAGCCCTTACAAATCGAATCTGATCTCCAGAAGCAAGTTAGCTTGTGTGGAATTAAGGAATCATGCCACCCTCACTATTCACAAAATTGAAAAAAGGTTAACAAATTAGTTAAAATTTAAAGAAATTTACAATTAGAGGGTGACTGTGGAAGATATATTGAAATTTGAATCTAGAATACAATATTTGATATGAAGAAAGTAAAACGCAGAAGGCCAAAGTAAAAAAACTGAAGGTTTTTTTATATATTTTATATACATTATAATTATGAAAAAGTCTACCTACTGTCCACAACGTATCCAACAAGTTCCTGGTCATCCTCACTCCCAAAATTATATATTTCGGGATTTAGCCCAACAAAAAACTCCAAATTATTAGTTAACTTAAACACAAAAAATTTCAATTTATTAGATTTTCATGAAGATGTTGAAATTACTCTCGAAAGAGACAACAATATACTCTGTCTCAACACTCAAGTGAACCTTAACAGAAATTTCATACCACTCCATAGACAACTCAATTAACCCTCTATGATGATGTAGGTCCGAGTCACCCAATACAAGCCTTCGAGATCCATCCCCTCCTAAATTCGATTTCACCCATCAGAGCTTACCTTTGGGACCATGGTACTCCTTTGTTTAAAACTTTTTTGTTCTATATTTTGTCTCTTTTAACCATGAGTACGCTTGTTGAGTGATTTAGTAATTTTTAGGACTAAACATCAGATTCACCTTTAGGGACCGCGGGTTCAGTTGTGCCATCTTGGGTACTCTGAAAGAATGTTCTGCAGAGCCCGGGCTGGCACATCAGAATCACGCGAGTGACATTTTTGTTTTGTCTTGACATCAAAATAATAATATCATTTATATTAAACATTTATTTAAATTTAACTAACAATAAATTAAATCTTTAAATTCAATAACAAATTTTGATCTCCGTTAACCTCCAATCACTCGAATCACACTCGGAGAAACATGTTCCACACTGAGGTGAACGCACCTCCTTCTGTTGACATTTGACAAGTCAAAGTCTTCAAGTGTCGCTTGTCACCACTGTCATGTGGAAACGGTTAAACAACTTGAACCAAAATGAAGAGAGAAATTTAAATTTGAAAATATTAATATTAATAAAATTATGATTTAGCAAGTTGTAAATATCCCGAAATATATAATTTTGGGAGTGAGGATGACCAGGAACTTGTTGGATACGTTGTGGACAGTAGGTAGACTTTTTCATAATTATAATGTATATAAAATATATAAAAAAACCTTCAGTTTTTTTACTTTGGCCTTCTGCGTTTTACTTTCTTCATATCAAATATTGTATTCTAGATTCAAATTTCAATATATCTTCCACAGTCACCCTCTAATTGTAAATTTCTTTAAATTTTAACTAATTTGTTAACCTTTTTTCAATTTTGTGAATAGTGAGGGTGGCATGATTCCTTAATTCCACACAAGCTAACTTGCTTCTGGAGATCAGTTTCGATTTGTAAGGGCTTATCCCACACTCACTATTGCCAATACCAGTTTTTTGTCACTTTGTTTGTTTTTTGTAATTTTTAATTTGTTCAAACAATTGTATATATATACTATTTTAACTTTTGACTTAAAAGTCTAATTCAGATTTTATAATATATTTTTTAAAATCTTTTTAAATTGTAAGTTTACATCCACAATTTTTGTAGATGAGCACTGATGATGGTAAATAAGCCGAAAGCGCTTTGCATTGATTAATAAAAAAGTTTTGCACGAAATACAAGTTTCTCCTTTTGAACCTAAACTACGTGCACACAGCTGTCAACCTTTTTTGGTTATTTTAATATTTATTTAAACTTTAAAAAATTGTTTTGTTACACACTAAAAACAATATCGACCAAATGACCAACCCCAGCATAAATGCAATAATGAGCTCTTTTTATAGCATTTTTCATAACTTTCTCAAACATTTCTTCTCGGATGTTGTCTTTTAATGCTTCTGGTGTTCGAGGTTTATTAACAAATACTCTATCTTTGAGATAACCCCATAACCAAAAGTCTGGAACAGTTAAATCGGTAGACCTTGGTCGAATTATTTTGATGAAAAAATTTTAACGATTTTGGCACATTCTCGAAGCGTATATCGATTCATAATGAATTTCCGAAGTATCTACTCTGCAACTGACAGAAAAACTCGAACAGATGTTAACTACAAACGAAACCATGAAGGCATTCCATAGGGTACTTGATTTTGCGCCACTTTATATAATGTTTTACCGCTTACATAATCTTGAAATACACATTTCTATCTAAATGGCCTGTAAGACATGGTCGAGGGTCCTACTTGACATTTAATTACCATTTGTAAATTCCGCCATGCATTTTCCGCAGTTAGTTTTTATGTGTTTATAACGTACCCAGGCTTCATTTATTCAATAAAATACAAATATAATTTAACCTGTCCAGAGATCAAGTCTTCGACATTTAGAGTGCCTTGAATATTCTCGTAAACGTACCATTTAAGAAAGTGGGACCGAGACAGGCGACAGGCGACAAGCTTCCACGTAAGGTGACCTAAATGTGTCTTTTACGTCTCAATCACATGTAATTAAATAAAGCACATTTGAGACAGCGCGACCGTTGCAAGAAAGACGGCAGCAATGATTTTTACCTGTTGTCTGTCTTGGTCTCGCGTTCCAAAATGACATCTTTAATATAAAATACTAAAAGAAGTCAGCATTATTTTTGTTTTGTCTTCTATCTGTATCTGTAACGTGTGGAGGGTGGGTAAATCCACGACACTTAGGCCTCACAAAGTCCATTTTTCATCCTCCTAAAATGATAGGCACCTCCTAGCTCGTGAGCCAGCCTATAGATTAAATGTAATTGACAACGTCACCAAGAGGTGCTTCTCTTATATTGGCCAGTGTTAGCAAATATTCTACGAACACAAATCTTCTAATAAATGGGAGCGTCGGGCAATCGTAGAGAATATGCTCGATGGTCTCATCTTCTTGTTCGCGCCCTCTGCAGAGTGCGGATTCTGACAGCCCCATAATATGGAGATGCTTTCGTACTCGGTAGGCAATGACCAGTCAGAATACCTGTGACCAGGCGCAAATTCTGTCTAATCATAGTCAAGTATTTGTTGTCACGATAACTTAAAAGCTCCCTGGCAACTCTGCAGTTTCTTGTTTCATCCCATCTTTCCTTTAATTTCACAAGGGAATGTTCTTTAATTAGGTCTGTCACTACCGAATTTGTTCGGCCAATAGAAGGGCCAGTTCCAAAAGGTTTTTGGTTGGCTGCCTTCTTGGCTTAAGCTTAAGCTTAAGCAAGACCGACGACGTGGCGTGACCTGTGATCCATCTTAAGGTGACCACATTGTTGATGGATACTTCGGCAAAAGCTTCGTGACATTCTAGAACTAACCCTAAATACATTCGCGGTCTGTTCATGGAGAGTAGTGTTTGTCTGCTATCTGTATGATGAGCAGTTCCTTTAATCACTGATATTGTTTCAGGTGATTTCTTTCGCTGCTATGAATATCTTCATAAGCTCTGTTAGAACTTCACTGGCACTATTGCTCACAGTCCATTTTATATTTAGGTTTAAGGATCTGGAACATACTCCACATCCTGCGCCTTGGTTCGATTTAGAACCGTCGGTGTAGATATGAATCGTAACTGCCACTTCCGGCTCTTCTATTTGTTCTCTTATAACTTTTTATGGCTTGTAGGAATAAGGATCAATTTATAGTCTAGAGAAAAAAGAAAGTAGTAATAGTGGTTATTATTAAAAACATCATTTTGTGACAAAAAAGTCAGCATAACCGTATTGTTAGGAGGCTTAATAGTTAGAAACAAATTTTATTTTAAATATTCTCTATAAAAATCTGATGTGTCCAACCTAAAGTTATAAGGTTTTTCCGGTTATTCTGTATAACCTATTGTATAACTTCTGTAAATGTTTAGAGGATGAACTAAATACAAACATTTTATACACCCCACTTGCTTGGAACATTTTTTTTGTATACTATTCATTGCCAACGAAAATACTGAAAAATTTAAATTTTACACCTTTTCCCCAAATTTTTCCATTATGATCTATTTTAGAGAAATCATGTAGAGATTGCTTAAATCGTGACATCACATTAATCATATAAATTGTATAAGACAAATTTAATTAGTTATAGGTGTCATGAGTAAAATAGGGAGCAGCTGCATACATTCATCTTTTAACCTGTTAAGGTCCCTTTTTACGTATGGCCAACTAGTTAGGCCAAAAATAAGGACACTGTTTACACGTTGGAGTTGCTTATTCTGAATTGACGATTTGAGGAGGATGGATGTGAAAACTATCACAGCCGTAGAAATTTAGAAATGGCGCATTGAAGATGGTAGATCCTAAGCCCTGAGTATTAATCGAAACAGAACGAGGTGTATTACAAAAATACATTTAGTTGGTATATATACTAATCCGTACCGCTATCGCAGCTTGTATATACACTTACGCCACAATACTATCATTTCTGCTCAACGAGTAACTAAGACCTGAAGAAGAAAACAACGTGTGAATGCTGTTGGCGGATTGCTCCAAGATCTTTTGATGTTTTTACGAAAACCGACAATATTCGGCTGTCCACCTCATTGGGCCAACTAGTTGGTCAGATTTGAACAGTTATAATGAACCAACAAAAGTTTGGGATATCACGTGATAGCCCACGCAGGTAGATGGAGTGTTACGAATATTGGTGTGCAATTAACAGAGATGGGAGTACTTACACCGTATGGCTCGTATAGTTTTTTTCTAATCTGTATACTAAACTGCATGTAACTACCTACCCACTTTATTCGAAAAAAACACAAATTTAAAAGTTAACTCTCTCATGATTACTTATTGGTTATATCTGTTCTAGAACAACTTCACAGGTCACAACACCGATGGATTTGACCTAAGCAGTAACAACATCACAATCAAAGACTCTGTTGTCAGAAACCAAGACGATTGCGTTGTTGTAAATAGAGGTTCCGATTTTATTGTTTCCAATGTAAGTTGTTATGGTGGACATGGATTGAGTATCTCAGTGGGTTTTTCCGACGATGATTTTGAGCGCAATTCCGTCCATAACGTTTTGTTCGAAAACTGTTTGGTAGATACTTCTCCTAATGGAATTCACGTTAAAACTCATTCTGATAGTGGCCCAGGTATTGTGGACAATGTTGTCTACAGGAACATTAAATTAAACAGTAAGTATTAAAATAGAAGATTTAGTTACTTTAATCCTGATTTTTCTCCAGTTGCGCTATTTGTATCTGTAACGTGTGGAGGGTGGGTTGCCCCCACGATAGTTAGGCCTAACTAAGCCCATTGTGCATCATCCTAAATTAATAGGCCCCTCTTAGCTCGTCAGACAGCCTACAGATTTGCGTTGTTGACGACGTGACAACGTTGAGAGGTGCCTATATTATATCAAAATGAGAGCGTGGCGGCAATCGCAAAGTATATGCTCGATGATCTCATCTTCTTATTCGCACCCTCTGCAGAGTGTGTATTCTAACAGCCCTATAATATGGAGATGCTTCCATACTTGGCAATGACCAGTCAGAATGCCTGTGTTCAGGCGCGGATTCTGTCTAGTCATAGTCAAGTATTTGTTTGCTGTCGTGTTGTTGCACTTATCCTTCTACTTACTATCATAATTCTTCGGAAGCTTAAATATTAACATATCCTGTGTGAGAAGCAACTCTTAAATCTATGAAGCATATATAAGCAATTTGCTCGTTCTATAACAATCCGTGTTTTATAATGAGTTTATCTATTTAATTCTAATGTTGATTGCTTCTTTATTATTCTGATGTACAATTCTCGAGACAATACTTTAAACACTCATTGAAGACATAGGTAGGGTCCGATTACAATAAGAAGAACACAGCTGCGTCATGACTTGGCGTAGTAAATCGTGGCGCTCGCCGCCTGCTGAGTTGAGTGGCGTGTTGATAATAATATAGAAATATTTGAATTATTATTTTAAACCAAACAACTTATTCTTTACTTATTGATAAATAACATAATGATACTGAAACTTTAAATTTATTGTTGGAAATTTTCAATCAAAATATACTATTGAAACTTTCTGTTTCTCCTTGTTTCTCTCTAATATTTATTGTGTTTGATAATCCTCTTAAAGTGAACTTTAACTTATACAGTGAGCATCATAAGTCCCCTAACTAACTCGTTACTGGGGTCTTGTTAGGAAAATCTCCGAGACAGGTCGATTTTTGATTTCTACAATGTACATTTTTGCATGATTAGTTTACCCTTAGTTTCATCCCTTACTGGAGGGTAGCAACCCTTTCGAAAAATTTAAATAGCATGGGGTGGTGAGTGATAGCTCATTTGTAAGGGGGGTTTTATTCTCTATTCAACCGTGCAAAAAATTTTGAAATTTGCTTCATTACATGTTGATTTATTAATGTTTAAAAATAACAAAACCTCACAAAATTGGAAAGCAACTAGACTAACAGTGACCTTCTTATGGCAAAAAGTCTTACTTCACGTCTGAACCAAAACCGAAATCATGCAGGGCCGAATTTTAATTCTAAGGATGAGTGCGCTACGTTAATTTCCGTTATTCTGAAACAACAATTAGTCGAGAATTAATGAAGCAAATTTCAAATTTTTTTACACGGTTGAATAGAGAATTAAACCCTCTTTCAAATGAGCTATCACTCGCCACCCCATGCCATTTAAATTTTTCGAAAGGGTTGCTCCCCTCCAGTAAGGGATGAAATTAAGGGTAAATTATTTATAAAAAAATGTACATTGTAGAAATCAAAAATCGACGTGTTTCGACGATTTTCCTAACAAGACTCCAGTAACGAGTTAGATAGGGGGGGTAAGACTTATGGTGCTCACTGTATGTATTATTCTTAACTGGTTTATAGTGCAAGTACTCTGAATCGGAAGCTTTTGAAAAAGATCATTTTTACGCTGGTTGTTGTTTAAAAAAACATCGTAAATATATTGTAAAACATTGTAAAACATTGTAAAACATTGTAAAACATTGTAAAACATTGTAAAACATTGTAAAATATTGTAAAACATTGTAAAACATTGTAAAACATTGTAAAACATTGTAAAACATTGTAAAACATTGTAAAACATTGTAAAACATTGTAAAACATTGTAAAACATTGTAAAACATTGTAAAACATTGTAAAACATTGTAAAACATTGTAAAACATTGTAAAACATTGTAAAACATTGTAAAACATTGTAAAACATTGTAAAACATTGTAAAACATTGTAAAACATTGTAAAACATTGTAAAACATTGTAAAACATTGTAAAACATTGTAAAACATTGTAAAACATTGTAAAACATTGTAAAACATTGTAAAACATTGTAAAACATTGTAAAACATTGTAAAACATTGTAAAACATTGTAAAACATTGTAAAACATTGTAAAAGATTGTAAAACATTGTAAAACATTGTAAAACATTGTAAAACATTGTAAAACATTGTAAAACATTGTAAAACATTGTAAAACATTGTAAAACATTGTAAAACATTGTAAAACATTGTAAAACATTGTAAAACATTGTAAAACATTGTAAAACATTGTAAAACATTGTAAAACATTGTAAAACATTGTAAAACATTGTAAAACATTGTAAAACATTGTAAAACATTGTAAAACATTGTAAAACATTGTAAAACATTGTAAAACATTGTAAAACATTGTAAAACATTGTAAAACATTGTAAAACATTGTAAAACATTGTAAAACATTGTAAAACATTGTAAAACATTGTAAAACATTGTAAAACATTGTAAAACATTGTAAAACATTGTAAAACATTGTAAAACATTGTAAAACATTGTAAAACATTTTAAATTGAAATTTAGATTTTACTTGCATGTCCCAGTTAAATACTTTCCTGACAAATTTTTGAGAGTATGCGGTATAAAATTTTGAGTAACCTGTTAAGGGTAATTTTAAAAATATTATTATATTATTATTATACATTATTATATTAGAGATGTTTAAATCTGCCTATTTTAACTGTTATTACGTAATCGGGTGTACTGATGAGCATGGGTAGAAATATTTATAAAAAGTTGGTTTGGACACGTTTAAGTATGTCACAATATCTTATACTTTAAACAGGGATGCAGTATGTCATTGTACTTATAACCAAGGGCTCAAATATTAAATTTTTGGGTACCTAGTATTTTGGCTTTTATCATTATTGGAATGATTTCTCCAACTCCTTGCTTAGATTTTTATCAATACTAGTACTTAGTTATATTTGCCATCTCACAACATAAAGCGGCGGCTGTTAGAGTAACACCTGAGTAAATATATTTGTTGATTAACCCTACAGTTGTGTTGTCTATGTGGAAATGAGAATCCAAAGATTTAAAACACCTCTAGAAAATTGTAATTTTTTAATAACGTTAATTTGTAAATGGTTTATTCCTTTACTGGTTATGACGTATCGGTGTTCTTCTTATTGTAATCGGCTTCTATATAGTACTGGGTTGTCACAACATTATTGTTAAACATTTTATTTATTTCAGATATAAATAATTTTGCCATTAATGTCCAACAAGATTACTCTGACGGCGAAGCCACTGGAACTCCTGGTACGAACATTCCAATCGTTGGTTTGGTACTGGAAAACATTGAGGGACATATGGAGAGCCTCAATGATTCGCCAACGCTAGCTAATTATATTTTGTGTGGAGATAAAGCTTGTTCCAAGTGGGAATTTAAAAATATTAAAATTACAGGTGCTCAAAATAAAAGTTTTTGTAATTTTGTACCTGATGGATACGTTTGTTAAAAAAGTCTTAGAATTTTAATAAATATGTTTTGATAAACTATGATAACGAGTTTAATGTATCTTCCTTTAATATCATATGCACAGAGAGAGGTTATATATTTTTATTGGTATGTATAAAGTTCATATGAATAGATTTCAGTTCGTTAGGTACAAGAACACTACCTTGAGGCTCTCCAGCTCTTCGCTTATAATTTATTACATTCGCTTTAGTACTTATAGAGGATACACCACGTTACAAACTCTACATACTGCCTATCTACAGTCGTCTGTCAGATTTAAATTTTTGATAGTTTGGCACATGAACAATGTACGGCGAATTTACACGTGTCAAGTAGCTAAAGCACGTTATTAAATCAAGCTGCTAAAAAAAGTACGTCTGTATTTGAGTATCTACATTACATAATTAGTAAATTTACGGTTTGTTAGGCCAGTGCGTGAGGCTCGACGTAAGCTACGGTTTGTTAGAACTGTGCGCGTCGCAAAACTCACAGTCTGCTGAGCGCAGCGCACGCCGCTGAAATCAAACAATGTTAATACCAGAGATAAGGGACATAAAGATAGGAAACGCTCATAAGAAACCAATGCTTAACAACGACCAGCTTTAACGCAGTTAAGACCTGACCCAGTATGTGGGCTTTCATCGATATCAAACAACGCAGCGGAAAATTTAAAAACCTGATAATAAAGGTTGTAAAAACATCAACTGCACTTTCATGTTATTGTAAATAAATTTAAACAATGTAATTACCCTAAATTATTTATTAAAAAAAATATTACACTTACAGTCTATTATCGATTAATTATTGCAGATCTATATTTTTAAATTTTTGTAACATTACATTTTTGTTTTTATTTTCCAAACGAATGGCCAATGGTGTCTTATTTAAAAATGCTGAGTGCAAACTCAATAATGGTAATTCAAATATTTTTCTTGCTACATCATATCTTCTAACGTTTTGAAGCCATTTTCTTGTTCTAAAAGAAATACTCCATAAATACCTACTTTGTGACAAAAGTTGGTTACTATTTGTGTTACATGACTAGATCTTACTTTGGTTAATTAAAGAACGCCACAATGGGATTGTTAAATTTATTCATGCGGCATGTGTCCAATACGTTCTCCGACTTATTGTAATATTTCATACAAAAATAGCCACAACCATTTCGCTTAGTTCATCTAGAGGATAACGCAAGCATGAACTCAAAATTTAAATTCAGTATTCTTCGATATACATAAAATAAAACTAACTGACATTTATATTTACAAACTGTTCGCTGCTGTCCACATCTACTATCTGTCTCAGTGTTGCCAACCGTACGATTTAAATCGTATTTATACGATTTTTTAACTCTCTGTACGATGTACGATTACACCAGTGAGGTCGTACATAAAAATACGATCTTCACTTTTTTAGTAGGTTTATTTAAATATCTGCAACAACTTCAGAACATAAAACTATAAAAATCAGAAACTACTTGCAAACATTTATAGGCCGTTCGTAATTTCTGAAGGCAGAAAAGAAAATCAAAGTATGTGGAAAGCAGTAATTTTCGTTCTCACTTATCGTGATTTTGACCAATGTGATTTTGTGCCAACATCGACTATCACGGCATAAGAAAAACTTGCATGCAAAATTTCAATCACTTTTAAGTGACAGTCATTGATTAATTTAAATGTGTTAATTTAAAGTTTTATGTATTTTCTTTAGTTTTTTGTTTTCGTTGTAAACATTTTTATAAATAGATAAATAAATTATCATGCCAAAGGTAATTTTTTATATTTTTTTCATTCCATTTGTTATATTGCTATACATGTACCTATTGTTTTTTGTCGAAATAACATTTTTTTTACTTGTACGATCTCTCAAAAAAAATATTTGACAACACTGGTCTGTCTACAAACGACGTATACCTATAGTTAACATCTGAGACGCATAGATGACGCTATCGTTGCTGCGTTCGTTGCGTTTCCTATCTTTATGTTCCTAATCTCTGGTTAATACTATTAAAATGGTTTGTTAGAGTCAGCACAGAATAATATAAAGGCGGGTACAGATCTAAGGACGTACGCGTATGAGGCAAGCTGAGGCAGAACCGATTGCTTTGTGAGACGCATTTTGTATGCACGAATGGGACGCACGAGGCGCTGTTCGCCACTGATCCAGTAAATTCGCTAGGACCTAACGTATACCCAGAACATTTGTAACGTGATACTTGTTATTTTATCTATTTGTTATAGTGTTTTAAGCTCAATTGATTTTGGGAGTGGGTCAGGTTATTAAATAACTCGAATTACCTTGAAAAAAAGTTGGCCACCACTATATTTAAAACTTATGACTTTAGATCAGTGGTGAAAATATAGAAAATCACTAACCATTAACAAACCAAGTTTTAGATAAGGTAGTAACAAATTCTAATTCATAGAAATTTACTTAATTCAAATTTAGATGATTTATTTAAAGCAAACACTTATCTGTTTTTAACATGAGGTAGTAATTTGAGTGATTTGCATGGAATTCTAGGCCTTCTTCAAAGGGATTCGGGATCCTTATTCTTAATCCTAGACTTGAACGATATTATGTCGATCTTCTATAGGTGAACCAATTTTCGGTCTTCAGATTGCACCAAACTCTTAGGTATAAAAACCATAAACTTCTTGATATAGAACCAAATAAACTGTTTAGATACAAATCTCCATAAACTTAAATCTCCATAAACTGTTTTAGATATAACTCGAAATAAACCGTCTAGATATAGCAATGCTAAAGGGAAAAGGTAAAAATGTTAAGAAAGAAAATAGGAAATTTGCACAGGACCCAGATAAAATGCCTTTAACCAATAAATGAACAATTTAAAACTATTAAGTGAATAATTTTACAGAGACTAAAATTAATATGAAAAGGAAAAATCTTATTTAACAAATTTAAACATAGTAAAGCATAATATCTTACTCCAAACAAAATAATATATAAAATTATATAAAACGTGTTATAAATGTGTGTTATTCATGTGTTGATAGGTATTAAGGTTATGTTTAAAATTTTACATTTCATTTAAGAAATTCTTGTACAAAATATATATTTTCAACAAGATATCGGTATTACACCGTACCTTATAACATCAGACGGAATATACGATTATTAAAAATCAATTAGAACATCAGATGACCTAGATAATTTAAAATCAACTTGATTTGTTGACAGATACAAATCAAAATGAAATACGAACTTTTGACACAAGGCATAAACGACAAATGACATTTGAGTAGAGATGTTTGTGTCAAAATAACGAAAACGGTTCCAACCGTTACACATTCGTAAAATTACAATAAAAATGAAAGATGAGAATGACTTCGCGGAGTTGAGTGCATGTTTTATTATTTTATCCGACACATTAAAGAAATAAGGCGAGAAAGGAATCGATGGCTGATTTCCTACCAAAGATATCTTAGACTAGATAAAAAAGAGGACGCGTAACAAGTATATAGAGCATACGTAGTATTCTGTACCGATACCAATTATTTATTGGCCGCCATTATTTTGGTGCTAGGCATTTCGGTGACACCAAAGTTTTTGGTCATGTTAATTTATGATTTTTGAATTAAACGACATTTAATAATTGGTTTATTACAAAGGTTTATTGTGTGGCATATCAGTGTAAAAGTTATAGCGGCAAGAGAGAAGCAGATATTACGTTCAGATATTTACAGGTAAATGATAAACATCAATCGTTTTTACTTTATATAGTTTCTTATATTTTTCATTTTATTTGGTGTTATACAACTTGATATTTACATATTGTACATGTCTTACTCCAGAGTAATAAATTTTACCCACCAAGTTTGTTTATTTTATGCTTTTCATTGATATTTAGGCAAGTAATGATATTAAAATGGGCAAACAAGGAATTTTTTCCAGTGGTGTGTCGTACAATTCTAAATATAAACTTTTATTAAATTCTAATTTACTTTTGCTTTTTATTTAATTGCAGCAATGTTTATTTGTTATTATATTTTAGATTTCCTGTGGATCCAGCAAAAAATCTTTGGATTCAGGCAGCGAAAATTGCAAATTGGATGCCTACGCCAAATGATAGATTATTTTTTTATGGAACGGACTATAAAAGACGTTTACTAAATGTAGCAGTTCCCACTATATTTCCTGAATTCCCTAAATATATGCAGCCGAAGAAGGTGCGTATACTAATAAACATAATTAAACAAGTATATTTTTTTAATTACTTTTCATTATTATATTATTCACTTTTAAGAATTTAGCAATCCTTTCGTGTATAATTCAAAACATTACCGTAATAATTGATTGTTTGTAGAAAGAGCGTTGCATTTGGAAGCTGAGCCAGGCTCTTCCAATAGAACTGCAAATAAGGAATCTAGCCTAGAAAGCTATAGCATAAAATGGCTTAAAAGACAACTTTTAAAACGGGTAGAAAAGAATAACGAAAAAACAAGACAAATGAAAGTTCTTAAACAGATTAAACACAAACTTAAAAGATATAAAAAATAGTTGTTTCGCTAAAACTTCTTGTTATTGTACCAAATTAGTATTATTTAAGGGTCAGTAATACATTTATCTATATTTATGTATAATTTTTCTTACGAGCCTAATTTAATAATACCCAGATAGCACACAATGGGTGCTATGATTGAACGTTTACGTTATCCGTAACGTACATGTTAAACCGAATTTTAATAGTAACGAGGCAAGTTCGTATGATGGAAACCTGTTAAATTAGAATATAACAGGCGAAAAAAAAAACAGAAATGTATTGGAAAAAGTTTTCCATCGTACGAACTTGCCTTGTTACTGTTAAAACTCGGCCTAACATGTACGTTACGGATAACGTAAACGTTCAATCATACGACCCAATATCTTAAAGACGTCCAGTTCATGTCTTACTTTCGTCCAAACGTCCTAATACGTAAAACGGACGGTTTTAAGACATGCCCAGGACATGTTTAAAACGTATATGACATTTTAAATATGTCGGTAATGTGGACGTTCAACTCTTTTAGCTATATTTGA